AAACTTCCCAGTTGTGCTCACTTGGCCAAGAAAGCATCCAAAATCAAAATCGTTGAGTAATTTTTATTTGAAAAATTGTAGCAACATACTTTTAAATAGAACTAAACATAAGTCTCTCAAGTGAGATTTTAAGATTGAGTCTTGTGATGTAAAAAAATGTGAAATTTAACTTATCTAAAGTAAAGAACTTTCATTTCAGAGAACAAAGTATAATAATAATCATTGGTTAAAAAATTAATAATAAATATTATAATTAATTTTAAATTTTATTATACATTTTCATTTGAGTTCAAATGTTGAATACTATAAAAATAAATATATCAAAATAAAAAGAAAAAATTTTAAAAATATTTTAATAATTCTTTATCATTATTAGATTTATGTAAAATCTGATTGTTATACATTATAAAAATAATTTTTGTAAATAATTTTTTTTAAGAAGCTATAATCATTATACTTTATAAAATTATTTCTTTAAATTAAAATTATATAAGAAGCTATCTATATATTTTTTTAAATAGAACATACATTTTTTTTCCGGTGTATATTACTGTCATTTGATTAATATTGATAATGTTAAAATGGTTTAATTAACATTAATAAAAAATTTAAAACATTATTATTTATGAATTCAAATAACGTATATTATAAAAAAAATATAATAGAAGTTATTTATAGTATTAAGGTATTAATTACTGTCGATAAAAGATTTAATTTTTTTTAATTCAAATAATGTATATTATAAAAAAATAAAAATCATTTATAATATTATTTACCAATTAAAATAAATATATCAAAATAAAATGGAAAATTAGATTAAAAATATTTTAATAATTATAATCATTATTAAATTTTTGCAAAATCTAATCTTTTCAAATAAAAAATATAATGAAAATTATTTATAGTATTATTTACCAATTAAAAGAAATGTATCAAAGTAAAAGAAAAAATTAGATAATTTTTTTAATAATTACTAGTAACTCTTAGATTTACGCAAATTCAATCATTATACATTATAAAAATTATTTTCGTAATTTAAAACTTATTCAAGAAGTTATCATATTATACATGAAAAAAATAGAATACACATTTTTTCTACATCATTGGAAGTTTGCTGAAATAAAAAAAATATTTTTATTAAAAATTATATTATAAGTTTAATTAATTAAGTTTATAATATAAATAATATTTTTATTTATTAAATAAAATAAGAAGAGGATAAAAATAGGAAAAAGGGTTTGGACTAGACTTTAGACCTAACTTGAAAACTTTTAAAAACAAAAGTAAAAATGTTAGGTTTTTATTACACTTCCTTGTGAAACTTTGAGAGTACTTATAGAGGAGAATTTAGAGGAGGTCATCGAAGAGAGTACGAAGTAACAATTCAGATTATTGGGAATGCATTGTACTACAAAATTGACACTTAAGAAAAGAGGGGGAGTGAGATTATCTCACCGTGTGGACACACACACATATATAAGGGATATGGGTAGTAAGACAACTCTCAAGACTCCATAGTAATTATTTTTGTATGCATTTGATGATCTAAGTATTGTTATGAAATTATTATTGTGTTTGATTATGCATGGTGATGAAATTCATTGATCTTGATAATTGAATGGTGATATGTTATGCTTGGTGAATGAATTGGTAGTTAGGATTATATGTATGATTTGAGAGTTTTGGTGTAGTTTCATTGATTTTGAAAATTTTGGTAGGAACACATCCTGATATTAAGGTGATTTCTCTTTACATGATTAACTAAATAAAGTTATATTTGTTGGGTTTGAAAAGAAACTTTTGGGACTACAATTTAGACTTAAAAATCATATAAAAATGTTAAGAAACGATTAAGTTATAAGAGTCATAGGGTGAGCCTTAGGTTCTATGTGCGAAAAGTAACGTGTGCAACTTGTAAACCTTGTGAAAATCCTTAGATGATTGGATTAGGTTTTGTGGTACTCATAAGAGTTGTAGCCTTATATATCAGATCTCCAATGGAGCTAGAATATCACCCAAAAAAGAGGTCTATAACTCAAGTTATGATCAAATTAGTGAGCATTCTTTCTTAATTCAATATTAAGAAAGCATGCTCACTAATTTGATTATAACTCTAGTTCTAGACCTTGTTTTTGGATGATTCTAATGTCATTTGAAAGACAACATCCAATGCTATAACTCTTATGAATATCACGAGACCTAATTCAATCATCTAACGATCCTCGCAAGACTTACAAGTTGCAAATGTTACTTTTCAACCATAAAACATGAGGCTCACCTTGTGACTCACATAACTCAATCATTTCTTAACATTTTTTATGTGATTTTTAAGTATAAACTATAGCCCCCAAAAGTTTACTTTCCAACTCAACAAACTAAACTTTATTTGATTGATCACATAAAGAGAAATCACCTAAATATCGAGATATGTTCATACTATAATTTTCAAAATCAATCAAACCACACCAAAACTCCTAAATCATACTTAAACCTTAGCCCCCAATTCATTCCCCATACATAACATATCACCATTGAATCATTAAGATCAACGAATTTCATCACCATCCACAACCAAACACAACAATACTTTCATAATACTCAAATTATCAAACACATACCAAAATAATTCTTACGAAGGCTTAAAGGTCACTTCACTATCCATATTTCTCATATGTGTCCAAACGATGAGACAATCTTACTCTCCCTCTTATCTTGAGTGATAATTCTACAGTACAACGCATTCCTTGTAGCCTCAATTGCTACTTCACATTCTCTCTAGTGACCTTTTCTAAGTTCTCCTCTACAGGTGTTCTTAGGATTTTAGAAGGATGCATATATAATGAAAACCTACCTTTGTTTTTTATTTTAAAAGTCTTCAAGTTAGGCCCAAAGTCCAACCTAAATCCTTCTTATTTTATTTAATAAATAAAATTAATATTTATATTATAAAATTAATTAATTAAGCCCATAATATTTTTTTTATTAAAAGTAATTTGTTTTATTTTATTTTTAAAAATTTGGGTTATTACATTTCATCTATATTACAATCATTTGGTTAACATTGATGAAATTATAAAATTGTGTTAAGTAGTAAAGGTGATTCACTATCATCCATTTTCAACAATACTAATCATTTGTTTCTAGAAAATTTGAATGATCCATCTTTCTTTAAAGATAAGGCAATTTTAACTCTTACAAATGACATTGTTCACACCATCAACCAATATATGATGTCCTTAATTCAGGGTGAAGAAAAAACTTATCTAAGTTTGGATACTACTTTGTTTGCAAATGATTCTATTGATTCCCTATATTTTGTGCATACTCTAAAATTTTTAAATACAATTTTTGCTTCAGGTCTTCCACATGTACACCATATTGTAAATCTAAAAGTTGGAATGTTAGTAATGTTATTAAGAAACATAGATCAATAGTGAGGATTGTGTAATGGCAAAAGGTGGATAATTACAAAATTAGGAAAATATGTTGTTGAAGGAAAAGTCATATCAGGTAGTCAAATTAGTATCAAGGTATATATATCTAAGTTACATTAACTCCTTCGGATGCTAACATTCCATTCAAATTGCAACAAAAATAATTGACATTGGTTATTTTATTCACAATAACTATTAACAAAAGTCAAGGTCAACCTTTACAGCATTTTGGGGATGTATTTTTCAAAACCAATTTTTTCTTATTGTCAACTATATGTAATAATTTGAAGAGTGAATTAAAAATTTTAGTTTCTAATAGTGAAAATAAACATTCAAATATGTTTTAATATTATTTATAAAGAAGTTTTCAATAATTTGTAACAAGAACTTAGTGTATATTTATTTTTTAATATTATTTTTTGACTTATTCTTAATATTTTTATATTTTATATTTTTTTTTTCACTTTTTAATTATGTAATCAATTATAAATATCAATTCACCAAACTTAACAAAAATAAATAGTGCATTATATGAGTACGAAATCTTGTTTAATAAAACATATATAATTATTTGTTCCTTTTATATCTTACTTCTTAGACACATGCAAAATAATAGTCACTTAAAACCGTCACTTTGTTATCATCAAAATTAGGGTATTGAACGCACATAAACATCTTTGCTTTACTGACTTAGGGTATGTTTGGTTTGCCGTTTAGGCACCCAAACGGACATTTAGTTTGCATTGAATGTTGTACCTGTTTGTTTGGTAATTTTTTTTAATGTTACGTTGAACTTCACTATCTTCAAAACGTACGTTGCATCCAAAGCAACACCTATGTTGCTTTTCCGTTGAACAAGAAGTTTCCGTTTCTTAATTCTCTTTTCACCCGTAGCATTTAAATTTCTTCAACTACTAGCAACGGTCACCATTACTCTCACCCACCAACTTAAAGAAGTAGTAAATCTAGTATATTACTTGGATTTGAAACATTTTTTGCTTGGGCATATAGAATTTCTCCTCCTCCTCCTCCTCTGCTTGTTCCAGATCCATCTACATGTGAGCTCTCTGATTTTGAATTTCTTAACTTTTTTGATTTTTTTGGATTCATTTGCATGTTGGCTCTCTAATTTTAGATTTCTATCTTGGTAAGATTTTGTTATTTCCCCTTCTTGTGCATAAAAGATTTCTTAACTTTTTAAATTCATTATTGTTGTTGTCTCTTTTGAATCGTTGATTTTTTTTCTAGATTCATCTATTGTTGATTTTATCTTCAAATGTGCACAGTATTGTGATGAATTTTTTTTATAATTTATTATACTAAGTTGAATGAGGCTATAAATGAATCGTGATATTTTTTGATAATAAATTAATGAGTAACAACAAGAGAAAATGCCTTGTAGATACTTCTCTTGTTGATAATGAAGGTGTTAAGGCAAAAGTTGCATGGGATGTGAAAGCCACTGAGATATTTGTTAAATTATGCTTGGATCAAGTTTATAAAGGAGAATGAAATGGTACTAACCTTACAAAAAAAGGCTGGAAACTCGTTGAATCTGAATTCAACATGAAAAGTGGAAGAAAATATGGCAAGAGTCAATTTAGAAACAAATGGGATAATCTTAAGAAGGAATGGTCAATATGGTACAAGTTGTTTGATAAAGAGACAGGTTTAGGATGGGATAATGTAAGGAATACAATAGATGCTTCAAGTGAGTGGTGGGATAAAAAGCAAATGGTATGAAGTCTTTTAATGTGAAGTTAGAAGTTTTTAAATTCCTTTATGTAATACAATATGTTGATTAGTTGTAACATGCAGAAAAATCCACTTTATGGCAGATATAAAGGACTTGTTTTTGCCAATGATTTAACTACATTATTCAAGGATGTGGTGGCTAATGGAAAATTTAGTTGGGCACCCTCTTCTGGGATATTACCTAATGATATAGGTGAAGATGATGTATATCGTCCATGCTTTGAGAGTGGTGATATAGATTTAGAGGAAGGATCAGGAGATAGTGAAGAAATTATACCCACTAGTACTAGAATGAGTTCTGAATTGCGAAATATTAATTTAAGCACTTCTGAAGGAAACAGTAGTGAAAGAGCATTGGCAGGGTTGGAGCTTCTGAAAAAGATGAAAGTAAAAAGGTGAAAGCTCTTGCCTAAAAAAAATAGTTGAAGCAATAAGTAGAATTGCATCTGCATCTGAATCACGTTCAAATGCCCTAAACACACTAGTAGTACTTGGCACATCAATTCTTGAAGTGATGGATGAACTTGACAAAATAATAGAAATTACAAGTGATGACGATTGACATGCCAGATGCTCTCAACTTATGTTATCCAAGTTTGCTAGAGAAATGTTTGTTGCTTTAAAAGGACATAAGCAAAGATTGTTGGGTTGGCTAGAGTATGCAGCTTATAATGCATTACCATCCATGAAAAGTTAGTTAAATCATTGTATTAGAATGATAATATTTTGGTGTAGTTGAAATTTAGACTTGTGCTATTTTGGTATGACAGAAAGTAGGATCCTTATGCTATTTTGGAAGGGATCAAGATCTGTTTGGTATTATTTTGATGTAGTAGAAATTAGAATGCTAATGTTATTTAGATATAGCAGGAATTAGGATGATTATATTATTTTAATGTAGCATGAATTAAGAATTATTTTGAAGTGCTAATACTTTTTTGATATCAATTCTTTTTTTGGATATGATATTTGTATTACAATGTACATTGTCTATATTCTATTTGATATCTGCACTTGTTGATGTTATTTTTTTCTTTATATATATATATATATATATATATATATA